AACAGAATACACATTCTTCTCTAGTGCACATGGAACATTCTCCAGAATAGATCACATTCTTGGTCCTAAATCAGGTCTCAACCATTACCAAAAGATTGGAATCATTCCCTGCATATTTTCAGACCACAATGCTCTGAAGCTAGAACTCAATCACAAGAGGAAATTTGGAAAGAACCCAAATACATGGAGACTAAACAGCATCCTTCTAAAGAATGAATGGGTCAACCAGGAAATTAAAGAAGAATTGAAAAAATTCATGGAAACAAATGATAATGAAAACACAATGGTTCAAAATCTGTGGGACACAACAAAGGCAGTCCTGAGAGGAAGATATATAGCGGTACAAGCCTTTCTCAAGAAACAAGAAAGGTCTCAGGTACACAACCTAACCCTACATCTAAAAGAGCTGGAGAAAGAACAAGAAAGAAAGCCTAAACTCAGCAGGAATCATAAAGATCAGAGTAGAAATCAATGAAATAGAAACCAAAAAAACAATAGAACAAATCAACGAAACTAAGAGCTGGTTCTTTGAAAGAATTAATAAGATCAATAAACCCCTGGCCAGACTTATCAAAAAGAAAAGAGAAAGGACCCAAATAAATAAAATCATGAATGAAAGAGGAGAGATCACAACTAACACCAAAGAAATACAGACAATTATAAGAACATACTATGAGCAACTCTACGCAAACAAATTTCACAATCTGGAAGAAATGGATGCATTCCTAGAGACATATAAACTACCACAACTGAACCAGGAAGAAATAGAAAGCCTCAACAGACCCATAACCAGTAAGGAGATTGAAACAGTCATCAAAAATCTCCAAACAAACAAAAGCCCAGGGCCAGACGGCTTCCCAGGGGAATTCTACCAAACATTTAAAGAAGAACTAATTCCTATTCTCCTGAAACTGTTCGAAAAAATAGAAATGGAAGGAAAACTTCCAAACTCATTTTATGAGGCCAGCATCACCTTGATCCCAAAACCAGACAAGGATCCCATCAAAAAAGAGAACTACAGACCAATATCCTTGATGAACACAGATGCAAAAATTCTCGCCAAAATACTAGCCAATAGGATTCAACGGTATATTAAAAGGATTATTCACCACGACCAAGTGGGATTTATTCCAGGGCTGCAAGGTTGGTTCAACATCCGCAAATCAATCAATGTGATACAACACATTAATAAAAGAAAGAACAAAAACCATATGATACTCTCCATAGATGCTGAAAAAGCATTTGACAAAGTACAGCATCCCTTCCTGATCAAAACTCTTCAAAGTGTAGGGATAGACAGCACATACCTCAATATTATCAAAGCCATCTATGAAAAACCCACCACAAATATCATAAACTGAAAGCTTTTCCGCTAAGGTCAGGAACATGGCAGGGATGTCCGTTATCACCACTGCTATTCAACATAGTACTAGAAGTCCTAGCCTCAGCAATCAGACAACAAAAGGAAATTAAAGGCATCCAAATCGGCAAAGAAGAAGTCAAACTATCACTCTTTGCAGATGATATGATACTATATGTGGAAAACCCAAAAGACTCCACTCCAAAACTGCTAGAACTTGTACGGGAATTCAGTAAAGTGTCAGGATATAAAATCAATGCACAGAAATCAGTTGCATTTCTCTACACCACCAACAAGACAGAAGAAAGAGAAATTAAGGAGTCAATCCCATTTACAATTGCACCCAAAACTATAAGATACCTAGGAATAAACCTAACCAAAGAGACTAAGAATCTATACACAGAAAACTATAAAGTACTCATGAAAGAAATTGAGGAAGACACAAAGAAATGGAAAAATGTTCCATGCTCCTGGATTGGAAGAATAAATATTGTGAAAATGTCTATGCTACCTTAAGCAATCTACACATTTAATGCAATTCCTATCAAAGTGCCATCCATTTTTTTCAAAGAAATGGAACAAATAATCCTAAAATTTATATGGAACCAGAAAAGACCTCGAATAGCCAAAGGAATATTGAAAAAGAAAGCCAAAGTTGGTGGCATCACAATTCCGGACTTCAAGCTCTATTACAAAGCTCTCATCATCAAGACCGCATGGTACTGGCACAAAAACAGACACATAGATCAATGGAACAGAATAGAGAGCCCAGAAATAGACCCTCAACTCTATGGTCAACTAATCTTCGACAAAGCAGGAAAGAATGTCCAATGGAAAAAAGACAGCCTCTTCAACAAATGGTGTTGGGAAAATTGGACAGCCACATGCAGAAAAATGAAATTGGATCATTTCCTTACACCACACACGAAAATAGACTCCAAATGGATGAAGGGTCTCAATGTGAGAAAGGAATCCATCAAAATCCTTGAGGAGAACACAGGCAGCAACCTCTTCGACCTCAGCCGCAGCAACATCTTCCTAGGAACATCACCAAAGGCAAGGGAAGCAAGGGCAAAAATGAACTATTGGGATTTTATCAAGATCAAAAAGCTTTTGCACAGCAAAGGAAACAGTTAACAAAACCAAAAGACAACTGACAGAATGGGAGAAGATATTTGCAAACGACATATCAGATAAAGGGCTAGTGTCCAAAATCTATAAAGAACTTAGCAAACTCAACACCCAAAGAACAAATAATCCAATCAAGAAATGGGCAGAGGACATGAACAGACATTTCTGCAAAGAAGACATCCAGATGGCCAACAGACACATGAAAAAGTGCTCCACATCACTTGGCATCAGGGAAATACAAATCAACACCACAATGAGATACCACCTCACACCAGTCAGAATGGCTAAAATTAACAAGTCAGGAAATGACAGATGCTGGCGAGGATGCGGAGAAAGGGGAACCCTCCTACACTGTTGGTGGGAATGCAAGCTGGTGCAACCACTCTAGAAAACAGCATGGAGGTTCCTCAAAATGTTGAAAATAGAACTACCCTATGACCCAGCAATTGCACTGCTGGGTATTTACCCTAAAGATACAAACGTAGTGATCCGAAGGGGCACGTGCACCCGAATGTTTATGGCAGCAATGTCCACAATAGCCAAACTATGGAAAGAACCTAGATGTCCATCAACAGACGAATGGATAAAGAAGAAGTGGTATATATACACAATGGAATACTATGCAGCCATCCAAAGAAATGAAATCTTGCCATTTGTGATGATGTGGATGGAACTAGAGGGTATCATGCTTAGCGAAATAAGTCAGTCGGCGAAAGACAACTATCATATGATCTCCCTGATATGAGGGAGAGGAGATACAACATGGGGGGTTAAGGGGGTAGGAGAAGAGTAAATGAAACAAGATGGGATTGGGAGGGAGACAAACCATAAGAGACTCTTAATCTCATAAAACAAACTGAGGGTTGCTAGGAAAGGGGGGTTGGGAGAGGGTGGTGGGGTTATGGACATTGGGGAGGGTATGTGCTATGGTGAGTGCTGTGAAGTGTGTAAACCTGGCGATTCACAGACCTGTACCCCTGGGGATAAAAATATATTACATGTTTATAAAAAATAAAATTAAAAAAAAATAAAAATTAAAAAATTAAAGAAAAAAAAAAGAAATAGCAAAACATAGAGCTCCCAGATCAGATTAATGAAAAAAGAGAAAATAGAAAATATTGAGGATTTCAAAAATGAGAAGGAAAACAGACTCCAGATGTGGGAGAAAGGTTGAGAAGACCACCCGCAGCTGTGTGTGACAGGCCGGAAGCTGAGGATGCTTTCTTAGCAACATAAAAAAGACCAAACTTGGTTTTAGAGGTGGAACAGTTGATAAATCAGTTGTTTTCAGTTGTCACAAAAGAAGTGGAAATATTGATGTATAATTTACTGTATAAAAATCATGTGTAGATTCCACTGAATTTTGCCTAGTCTTCTGAAGAACCAAGTAATTCCAGTCTTTTCCTAGTATGTTTTGCAAGTTTTTTTTATTTTTTACTTAATTATTTTTTTTAATGTAGACTCCGTGCCTGTTGTGGAGCCCAACACAGGGTTTGAATTCATGACCCTGAGATCAAGACCTGAACTGAGATCAAGAGTCAGTCAGACATTTAACCGACTGAGCCACCCAGGGACCCCCTGTTTATTTTTAATAACAGAACCCAATAAAAAACAGAATAAGAAAGGAAAAAATTAGAAATCCATTGCTAGGTATTTGTCCAAGAGATGTCAAATTAATGTCCACACAAAGACAGGTTATATGCTCGCTCATAGCATTTCACGGGCAGCCTGGGCTGCAGAGCGCGATGTCTTTCGGGGTGAGTGCGTAAGCAGACTGGTCCCTCACATAAAGGATAACATTCAGTGACAGGAACCAGTGTTCAGGCTCCCGGGACGTGTCGCATCAAACGTGCACAGGTGTGAACGATGCCGGGTGAGGAGTCTGGTGCTGGCTGACCCGAGTTTATGAATTTTTGTAAAAAGACTGATATTGAGGGTCAGAGGATGATAGAATTGGAAGAACTTTTTCAAAGTTTAAAAAAGTTACAACTTTTCTTCTCCGATTTGAGGTAAAATACATTTGCATTTCTGTCTGTATTGCAGCTTATCTCCTTTCTGCCAGATTAGAACCTGCTCTCTGCCTGGAGGCTTTCTTTTTTTTTAATATTTTATTTATTTATTTTAGAAAGCACAAGTGTGTAAGCCTCTTCCCTGGGGCAGAGCCAGAGGGAAGTCTGGAACATGGAGCCCCCAGGCTTGACCTCAGGACCTTGAGATCATGACCAGAGCCGAAACCAAGAGTTGGCCTGCGTAACCGACTGAGCCACCCAGGTGCCCCTGCCTGGAGTTTTCTTATCTGGCCTACCAATCTCTATGCTTATAATCATTTTAGGGCAAATATTATAGGACTACGATAAACATAGTTCCTATTCAAATACAACTTGCAAAAAGTGTTTTTTAAAATTAAATGATTATTCATCTAATGCTTATTACACTCTTGCGAGATGACTAACATAAGATGTGTTACATTTGAAACTCTAAATTTTCTTTTTTCTTTTGCATTTGCTAGAATGCTCCTGTGGATGTGGGTTTCATGGTTTCTAAGCTGCTGTTGACCATACAGTTGTGTCCAAAAACGGAGTTTCAGTCCAGTGAAAAATTTGGGGAAGACTTAAGTGATAACACTTGGGAGTACATATTTGCTATTGACCTGCTCTGCTGCCATCAGAAGTGGATTTGGACACATGATAACATTATAAGGTACCAGGCTGTTGTGCTCACTGAAAGTTGGGTTCTTGAATTGGAAGGTAGGCTGTCACACGGTTGCTGAATTGTGCTTTGAATTGCTTTTGCTCTTGAAGGTTGCTGAAACATTTTACAAGCGACATTTGATTTGGGTAAAAATTGGTAAAACTCTCGCTAAAAGACATGTATTATTGTTACATCCCCTTGCTTTGTTTTGGTGGTGGCTGTAACTTACTTTCCTTATATTCTGTTACTACTGTCTCTCTCCTAAGGAACGGTGACCCCTGTGAAGGAGGGGTTTGGGTTCACTGGAACATCCCCAACTCCTAGAGCAGTGCCCAGAAAGGCAGCCCTCCATGACTGGTGTAGGGGCAAGTGTCATGATCAGATCTTAACATTCAGATACTCTGGAAAGCCCGTGTGAACAGACATAGGAAGAGTGCCATGTTAGTGGCTCTTCTCACCGGGTTTCAGGAAGGAGCTTAGTCTCAGGCATCTGCTTTATGTAATGAATCCGCTCTTCTCTATGCATGGAGAATTCTGGCACTAGCCATATACTATCTCTGGAAGGACAGGAGGTGGGAGAGCGGAGAAAACCGTCACTCAGGTGATGGTTCCATAGATCTTAATTTTCTTGGAAGCCTGATTGAGAAAGACTGATTTAAAGGAGTCTGTGGCATTACAGAGGATTCACAAAGGATTAATAGTCTGTATCCTGGAGGTACTTAAATGTGTTCTGTGGAAAACTGGGCTCTCGTTTCCTCCTTAACACTAGGGACAGATTATGTGTCTAAATGTCAAATGATAGGGAATTGAATTATGGTCCTGCCACATTAAAATAATCGCTGTAAGTGGATGTTTAGATATTGACATGGGAGTAGCTCCCATGCTTTGCTGGCTAAGGGAGTGACGGTGTGGTGTGTCCAGTACTGTCTGTATAAAGATGTGAGTGCCTCCTGTGGGCCTCGTCTCCTGACTGGGAGGAGCACAGCAGGCAGGGTGACAAGTCCACCACAGGTGGTTCTGGGCACCCCCGCTGGGGGTGAGGACGGAGTGTTGAAGAGCGGGATCTGTGCCTGAGCCAATGCCACACCCAGAGCCCAGAGTGCTGTGGTCACCTCCACTGGGTTTATACTGTGCACCTAGAGAAGGACAGCGAAAGGAAAGTCCAGAATTAGTTGAGTAATGTTACCTGAAAATGTCTCAATTTGAGGTGCTTTTAATGTACGTTTTTTTCCGTGTGTTGGCATTTAACTTTTTAATACTATAAATACCATATAAGAAGTAAATACACTTTGGAAGGAAGAGAAAGCAAAGAGGAGCTGGCACTGTTTTCAGTCAGTTAGAGAGTTTGTAAGGTGTGGTTTGATTGTTGCCTCTGACCTCCACGCTCCTCCGAGGACATGGCAGAGGCTTCTAGAACACAGGTGCCACATGCACGTCTGGAACGTCCCCAGTGAAAATCCAGACTCCCACCTCTTCCAATTCTGTGACTTGGGGACATTGTCTAGCATCCCTGCTCAAAGCCTTGTAGAAGGGGTGGACACAGAATAAAGGTCCAAGCCTATAGGTACTTGCAGCTCCTTTTAAGTCAGTGTGGACCCAAGTATCTGGATGGGTGGAGAGTGTGTGAGCTTCCTGTGTCTGGTCTCTTTTTAACCTAAAAGGTTACATCTTCAGAAGACCTTGTTCTGCGGTGCCTGACTGGCTTGGTAGAGCATGCGACTCCTGACCTCACGGTTGTGAGTTTGAGCCCCACATTGGGCATGGAGCCTACTTAAAAATAAGTAAATTAAAAAGAAAAGTCCTTCTTTCTCAATTGTCTAATTCTTATGGACCATTTTGAAGCTGTTGATATCTGAGTGACGGTGAGCATGCAAGCTTTTCACGCTCGTGTATGTATATATATGTGTATGTATATATATATATTCTGTTGTTTTTTAGTAAAGAGCTGTGGCCTGTAATGGATAAGTGGATAAAATACAGAAAAGGACATGCGAACATTGCATATACTCCTGATATTATTATCGCATCGATACTGAGGCTGATCGGTGAGTTGTCTGTTTTTTTTTTTTTTTTTTTTTTTTTGATTTTTTTTATTTTTTTGACAGAGAGAGATCACAAGTAGACGGAGAGGCAGGCAGAGAGAGAGAGAAAGAGAGAGGGAAGCAGGCTCCCTGCTGAGCAGAGAGCCCGATGCGGGACTCGATCCCAGGACCCTGAGATCATGACCTGAGCCGAAGGCAGCGGCTTAACCCACTGAGCCACCCAGGCGCCCCTGTCTGTTTTAATAAAACATTTTCTTGTTACTGATCACATATTAGTGGGATAAGTGTAATAAAGGTTGCTGACCAAAACCTCCCGTAATGACGGATTTCTGCCACCACCGTATCAGATGCATTCTCACTTCCTTCTCCTCGCTCAGACCCTTTCTTTATAAATTAATGTCTTCTCTGACTTTGTCAGAGATGAGGTCTTCATGCGGTTCACTGTACATGTGATTAAGCGTGTGCTGCTTGGTTCCACCGGGACACGCACGTGCACACGTGCAGTCTGTGATGCTTGGGACTCGTTCGGTGTCTGTAATGTGCTGTGTCCTGCTTGTGTACCACGTTCTTCTCTGCTGGCCCAGGCAGGGTCACATCGTGCAACTCCATGACTAGGGACTAGCCTTGTTTTCCTCCAAGCCCATATACAGGTTTTAAATGGGACATAGATGCTCTTCCATCTTGGGTAAGCAGGACCTCTGGGTTTTTGCTTCTGCTCCCTGTCACCCATACTTTTTTATTTTTTATTTTTACTTATTTCTTCCTCCTTGCATCATCTCTGACGAGTTGCTCTCCAGACCACGCAGAGTTATCACTGAGGAGATCTGTTAATTTTTGGAAGGCTCTTCTTACTTTGAATGGACTTCTCCATCTCTAGCACATAGTCCTTGCCCCCTGAGCCACACCATCAAGGCTCATCTGATACCAGTGTTGTAGCCCTCAGATCCTAGAACATACTCACCATGACTTTTAAGTATCTTTGGAGTTTAGTTAGTTAGAGCTTCAAGATAGTACCACTTGAAGTAAGGTTTGCAAATATTTAAGTTATCTAAGCAAGTCCCGTAACTAGATCTGTCTGTGACGTGTATGTAACGGCTAGTTAGGTCGCTGTCCCAGTAAATTGGCGTTGCTGCTCTGTGCACACTTTACTGAAGAACGTGGTGCTGAGTGAAAGTGCAAAATGGTCCAAGCAGCAGCCTGCTCTTAGGGAAGACATCTCCTTCCACTGGATAGAGCCAGAAGTACACCTGGGGGGAAGTTACCAAAAAGAGAGCCTGTGGGGGTCAAGTGATTGCTGGAGACGGTAGGGGAATTCGAAGAGATGCCTGCAAAGACAGCTTGAGGTGTGGAAGTGGATGAACTGCTCCCTGGGGGGAATGTCTCAAAACATAGTTTGCAGAGTCCCTTATTTCAGGAAGCCCTGAGGAACAATTTCAGCCCTCACCCGGAAGCAGTAAGGACAGAGCAGGGCTAGGGACAGCATTCTCAGCAGTGCACTGGCGTCTGGACATCTCGCTCTGCTTTCAATAGCATCTTCTCTCCAGGATTCCAGAAAAATGTTCATACTTGGAAATGACATTTTAAATTATAGAACCTATTTGAAAATGTAAAAGATTGGGAGATGTTGTTAAATCCATAAATCTCTTGATCTAGATAGATAAAGTATCTTTGGAATCTTGAAAGAACACGATAAACTTTTTGAAGTCACACTTAGGAAATATGGTGTGATTTTTGCTGTTGTTTGCAGAGGGGTTTGTTTACATACACATACGTGTTGGCCGGAGCAGGAGAGGGGACGGGTGTGGGAGAGCGGAAGGCTGCTGGTCACTTCGGGTGACTTCCGCGCAGTCCCTGGGCGTCCACGGCAGAGCGTCAGCCTCACGCGCGAATGTCCCGTACAGTGGGCTCTCAGGAGTCTTCCACATTTGGCCGGATGTCCAGATTGCCTGAGAAGCTTTTTAGAAGATGTGTGTGTGGATACTGACGTAATTAAAGTCATACATAGTAAGTCGTATATTACGGGAATAACTGACAATACATAGTTATCAGTATTGTGGGATAGAACATTAACGTGAGTACCGAATGTGACCCGAGGCGGAGAACCGGGAGGTGGGCCTCCGTAGTTCTGTAGACAGGAGAGGGCTGCTGGGGCAGCCGGGCCGGCCGTGGTTCCACGGGCCGGGGCTGGCCAGTGGTGGCTCAGCTTTGCCTGCCTTGGCTGGCCGTCCACCGGAGCGATGTTCCTCTGCGATGGGGCGGGCTGCGGGTGGATGGCCGGGGCGGGGCGCAGAGACAGGTGAGGCCTGCCGGCAGAGTTCTGAGGAGTCATGTCAGGGTCGGATGTGCGTGGGCCGGTCTGCACACTTGTCAGACTTGGGAGTTGGAACTGTTTCTAAGAAGATAGTCCATTGGAGAACTTCTTGTGCTTTCTGAAGCTGACACTGAAGAATTCAGCAAGTAATTAAATTGCTGGGCTGTGATTTAATAATGACCGAAAGCACTAATCATTCATAAAATAAAGGAGTTAATGTTTATTTTTATTTCTAGATTTGCAAAACCCTCACTGGATTTTCGCTCCATGGGAAATAAAAGACGCTTTCTGTCAGAGCAGTTCTGTGTTGTCTGATGCTGGATAGGGGTGTGAAGATTGCTCTTGGCGAGTGTAGGATTATTAGATCAGGGTCTGACATCTTCAACGACGATGTGCTAGCGCATTTTGTAAAGTGCATTGCTATGGGTTCAGGGGGCCATGAGAAGTGGAAGAACCTACCTCGGTCAGGGCAGACGTGAGCTTGGAAAGGCTCAGCCCTTGTTTCTGGGGTCACACCATGGGGAGGTGGCAGAGCGGGGACCACAGTTCGCATGCGGCTGGATCAAGTTGAGTGCAGGGCTACGTGGTGCCTTTTCTGCCCCCACAGAGCTTGCGAACTACCCCTGGCCCATCTGGTCTTGACTGGATCCTGGAAGCTAGGAGAACGCCGTTTCCCACAGCAGGTTTTTGTGGGTCCAGGTGAAGTAACCATTGTTGATTTGTACCCAGTCTCTTCCCAGGCTTGTTCCCTTTTCTTTTAAATTCTCTCAGCACACTTTTCCCTCGGGATGTCTGTATCTGCGCTCTTGAATGAAAACCCTGGTGGCTACACAGGCACCTTCCTGGCTGGCCCCCAGCTGCCCTCCTCACGCTTCCCTGGGTGCTGGGTAGTCCTTAGACTTGGAGGTTAAGTCCACATTTCTTACTTGTTGTGTTTTAATGTGGCTGGGCCACCCTGGACTCACATTCCTTCTGTAGGAGGACTTTCCTTCCCATGTAGTGAGCAAATTTGTCCATCATCTTTGTCATCATGGATGTAAGTTTTTTCCCCTAAGCCACCTACCTCTGAGTTATGACTTCCTCTTACTAGAGCCCTGATAGCTCCATTAATTTAAATCACTTACAAAATCCAATTCATTAAGCATTTTTAATTGAAAGAACAGAAGCCATTTTAATAGGGTTCTCTATTACCTGAGGTTACACTCACATCCTACGGCCGGACGAGCCCTATCTGTGTTTGGCACACGCCCGTTCCTATCTCTACTGTCACTAACGGTTTGAACACCCCTGGTAGATTGTCTTGCAGGACAGATCCGGGGACATACCATTACCAGTCTGATCCGATTGGAAGCAGATAATTTGCTATTGAGTGATCAGTAAGTGAAATTCCTGATCCCTGAAGTACAATACTTTTCAGCCTCAGTGAAAGATTTACCAGAAATTATCCAGATGTTTATAGTTTCACCCTGGATTTGAAATTTTCCAGGCATTTATCCATCAGTAGGAATTTATGGAGCGTTTGCTCTCTGTCATAGCATTTAGGGTGCATGTAACCAGCGCTAAGTTGGTTTTTCTCGGGGATAGTAAGTAATAAAGGTTTCTGTAGTGTCCTTGGCCTGTTTCTCCATATTAGAGAAAGAGATGAAGCTGAGGGCCTGGGTTCATATGCAAACCTGAGAATGTGTGTGGTACTGAGAAAACGTGCATATAGAACTGTGAGATTGCAGGGTCCTGTCGTAAGAACCCAGGAAGAATGTGGTAAGAGCGCATCCGGGCGTGTCCCAGAGTCCTCTCCCCATGAGACAAGAGAATGGGGCCTCGGCTTTGAAGCAAGCTCGAGTCCCTGGATCCTGGGAATGAAGGAAGGACCAGGTGGGTGGGAACTAGCTGGTGGCCTCATCTTGTTTGTGTTAGCCTTCAGTTGGCTTTCGCTGCCCCCAGTGAGAAACCCCGGAGCTTCTGTCACTCCAGGTCGTATCTACCAGGTGTTAACATGTTCAGGATTGAAAATAACATGTAGCTATTCATTTAACATTAATAACAGTAAACCATTGTTAACATAGACGACATTCTCCATGAGCAGTATTTGCCCAGCAACAACGGTGAGGAGAACGACATTTATCCTGTCGCAGACCTCTTCACTGTCTGGTTCGTGGGCCTCTCTGCTCTGCACTCAGGCTCCTGCAGTACGTTGTTTTGGTTGAAGTGTGTGAAGAAAATCCAGTTTTGTATGGAGCTGATAAAGGGAGAGGAGTATTTTAATAGCCTCTTCAGATCATTGTGGATGTTCTTCGACACTGCGTTGAACTTCCACAAGGGGGAACTCCCGGAAGGCTGGATGCAGCTTGAAATCTGAACCTCCCCAGGGAGTCTTCTGCTGAGCTGCCTGGGGCCCTCGCAGTGCGTGGAGGTGGCCTTCTGCCCAGTCGTGATTCTGGGACTTGCTCCACGCACTTGGAAGATACTGATTTGCATAGGTCTTCCAGATACCAACAGTATCGAGAAAACAGGCATTAGTATCATCACTGATCTCATCAGATTTTTGAAGCTGTCAAGCTCTGGGTGGCTGATGGAAGGTTTTCCAAAATTCTGGTTTTGCTTAAGAGCTCACATTTTATCTTGGACAACAGCGATAAATTTCCTTGCAGGGACTAGGTTCACTTTATTCATTTTTGAGAAAGTGTCTATCTTGGTCTGAAGAGCTGTAGTCAGTCATTCTTTCAGGGAGATGTGGGTGTTGCATGGGGGAGCGTCCTGGTCCCCTTCCCGTTCCAGCAGCTCCCAGGTCCTGGGGCCCCAGCTTTCGTGCAGTCCATCTGGGCCCAGCCCTGGGAAGAAGGCAGGTCACTCCTGAGTGAAGGTGCTGGTGGTGTGAAAATTGTTTTGACCCTGAGGACTCTGGGGGTCTGCGAACCACACTCAAGTGCCGCTGTGCTTCTCGGCCGGGTCAGAACGGCTGTGGGTCGGACCGAAGCCAGGCCTGCTGGGCAGCGGCACGGGGCTTCCTGGAGCCTCACAGAAATCCACCATTTCCCAGTGAGCCTGCGGCAGCCAGTCTTTCTCCTAAGTTCCACTCCTTGTGATACCTTCGCTGAGACAGCCTGGTGCTGTCGTGTCCTGAGTGTGAGTGAGAGCAGGGGCGGTTGGTCGCCTTGGTCCCCACTGCCCCCAGTAAGATACATGGCACTCTGTGGGGTCCCGGTGCCTCACGTTTTAACCTGCTTTCATGTAAGAAACATGTTCCCATTTGAACTGCAGGATCGTTCACGTACACGGTGTTACAGGAAGGAAACCAGAATTTTAGAGCTTTACAAGAAGTTCACACTTCACTGAAGGTGGCTCGCGTTTTGGTTTCCTTGTGTCCTCAGGTCGCTTAGGCCAGCTGGGCTTGAAGGAGGGCTTCCCGTCCGCCGTGAAGAACATCAGCTCCGTCATCGGCATGTTCATCCAGCACGCCCGGGACGAAGGTAAAACCTTTGTTTATTGAAGTGGTTTTCGAGTCCCTTGCGTTCCTCCCGTTGCACCGCATCTGTGTCTTTCCTGCGTGTGGTGCTCCGTGCCCCCCTCGCTGCCACGCGGTTGCGGGGATCGGCATGCGGCCGCTCGGCCTGCACGCCCCGCGTGGGAGCTGCTGTGGGTTTTCTGGTGTGTGGTTTGAATTACAATTTAACTAAAATTTAGCTGATTTTAATTAAATAACTTCTGAAAAGCCTTCTGCGAAATGAGAAGGCCCTCACGGCAGGGTCTCGGGCCTGGCTGTGGCCCTCCGGCCCCGGCTGGTGCTCCGGTGGTGCACTGTGTTGTGGGGGGCGGGGCGGGGCGGGGCGAGCTGCGCCTTCCCGCAGGGCTGCGTTCCTCGTGTTCAGATCCCACGTGTAAACACTCCCACTGGATAGCCAGTGGGGTCACCACTTCGACAAATGCTTTGGGATCCACATTTTATGGAAACTCTCGAGTGGAGTGTGATCCTTCCAGAGCTGCTCCGGGAAGCTCTGGCACGGGTCACACGAGGCTGGGAGCTTTTTGGCCGCGTGGCCTGTGCTGACTCTGCCAGTGCTGGGGGCCAGGCCAGCACTGGGGCCTGCACACAGCCCTTCTGCTCCTCTGCTCTTGTTTCTTTCCATCCGCAGATGTGTGCTTAACCCATTTTGTCATTACAGGACTTTTCTTTCATATTTTTCATGCCGGCAGAGGGTGTCCTGTATGTGAATAGTGATTCAGTGGAGGACAGCATGAACATTCTGAATCCCAAGCATCTTCTTGTGTAATGACGGATATGAAAATTCCTTGCAGATATCCCGTGGGGCATCCAGCTGGCGGCTGTGTACGCGCTCTGTGATTTGAGTCCCAGCAATCCAGCGGAAATATCCAAGATCCTGGAGGCCTGGCGCCAAGAGACCGCGCACAGCGTGCCCTCCGCGGTGCTCAGCTGCCTGGAGGAAGTCGGCTCGCTGTGCGCGGAGGAAGTCGGCTAAGCCGCCCCGCGCCCGTGTCTAGAGAAGTGCCTTTACCTATCTCGAGGACAAATAGATGAGTCAGCTCGCGGAGCACAAACTGAGGTTTCAAAAGGAAAGACATCGAAGACAGAAAATGCCCAGAGGCTCTCCTCACTGTGGCGAGGAGACAGCAGCCGGCCGTGGCAGGGCTGCCTTTCCCTAAACCGCATACATTTCACTTAAGGCTGTTGTGATTCCATGACATGTGGGTTGTATTATTGTGTCTTGGTCAAACAACAAAAACTTGAACTTAGCCCTTTTTTGCTGCAGAAAGTGTCCTTTAGTCGCTTTTCAAAATTGAGTGGCATTTTATAATGAATTTAGTATAAAGGCATTGATTTGGTTCCTAGGCTAATTTTGAACTTTGCGCTGAAATGATTGACTAGGGAAAAATAAGCTGGCTGAGGAAGAGCCAGAAGATTCTTCGGCTGTCTTAGCTGGAAATGGGCTTCAAAATTGTTTCTCAAGGTGTAGTGTGCGACTGGTCAGAGGAGAACCTTAGAGACCGGTTCTAGTGCATCATCTTCCTATCTCTGCAGGCCCTTCAAACTGTCACTGTATCAGGACAAGGAGGGCTGAAGAGTAGACATTCACTTGCAGGCTTTGTGTCAGCGACCTGTATGTACATAGACGATTCAGAGACGCGCAGGCAGGTCTCTGTGTGTGCCGTGTATATATGGACCGTGCTATAATGTGTTTCACATTTGATGATATTCCACTTTCGGAATTTTAGTATTTGTACATAGAAAATGGGTTTAATAACTCACCGTGGTTCTGATTTGTCTTATATTCATCATTTCTTAAAACTCTTGTATGTGTTTTTTATAATAAAAAATTTAAAGTAAGCCATGCACACGATTGTTCTGATCAGTGAAGGGTGACACTTGGCATTTCTTCTACTCTAACCAAAGACGGAAAATTCTCCACTCTAACCAAAGATAAAACGGCCATTCCAAGTGATAGAAATATGCTACATTACCATTGTCTAGCAGGTTTCTCCGAGATGCTCTTAGAGACATTGGAAACCAGATGATTACATACTGATTGGCCCTCATGATTGGGTTTGTTTACCTACAAGTACTGCTGCCCTTTAAAAATTACATTTGACAACTATTTTGCTACTCCTGCCTCGTGTTTTTAAAGTAATTATAACAAACATAATTGAGATTTATAAATAACTCTGCATTGCCCTTTGGAAGCTCTTTGTTGTTTGTTGGTGTGTTGTTCTTTCTTCCAGTGTTTGCTGAGTATGTGCTCGTGCTAGGGGCCTCGCTGGGAGGAGCCAGAGAGCAAACAGCAAGGGCCCAGTTGGCAAAGACCTGTGACCTGCTGGGAGAGAAAATCCTACCCCCCACCCCAGTGAATGAGCAGTCAGAAATTGTAGTAAGTGCATGGAGGAAGCGTGGAGCTGTGCACTGGAGTAGTAGGGGTGACTCCTCTCTTTCTGTGTATTGGGCAAGGAGGGTCCCTCTGAGGCGGCAACAGGTGAGTTAGGGCCTGGCAGGAGGGAGCCAGCCCTGAGAGGAGACAAGTGACTGTCCCGGTCCGGTGACTGGCTCTGAGAGGGAGGAGCCCTTTATATGCGGGAACGAGGCTGGTATAGCCTGGACACGCTGTTTAAGGAGGCGAGCGTTTGGTCCGTCATACAGGTGACTGCCGTCACTCGGACCTGGGCAGCTCCAGGCTTGTTCGTGGTTGGATGGAGGTTTGAGCAGAGGTCTCCTATGCGATCACATTTTAATAGGGCGGTTCTGGGGCCAAAGGATGGGAGGAGGGCAAGAGGTGGCACCAAGACCTCTCAGCAAGTCTGGGGAGAGCCCAGGGTGGCCGCAGAAGATAAAGGGTACATGGGTTTCAAATCTATCTTGGAGGTTCCCTGCTAAATTCATGCACTGGGGGACAGGGGCCAGGTAGGAGTCGAGACTCCGAGGTTACTGGGTTAGGCACCAGGGGTTGGCGACAGGGACACAGGTTTGGTGGTTGGAATCACAAATACTAAGTGTGCTTTCGGGATGTGGGAATCACGAGCATAATTTTTACAGGCAAAAGTGTGGAGGTAGAATAAATCGGGCAGAAGTTGGGGAGTTGGCATCGTGGGGAGACTATTTAAAAGCTGTGTACCTGTGTGTGTGTGTGTGTGTGTGTGTGTGTGTGTGTGCGTGCGCGCGCTTGCATGCACATGTGAAGTCACAAGGGAGAAGACCTTGCCAACAAGTACCTCCTTGTGACTTGAAGTTGCTTGGGCTGGAGGCAGTGGTGTGGTCCCTTGACGGCTATCTCTTGGCCACAGCTAAGAAGGCGGGGAGGCAGGCAGGTGGCCACTTGTGCCACAAGGTCAGGCGAGGTGATGAGTGCATTTTGCCTCCAGTGGGTGACAGTGACCTTGGGGAGCATTTCCCAAAGGTAAGCACGTTAAGGCAAAGAGGTTAGGTTTGCAGGTGGCTTGTGGGGGAATTTCTGGTGAGTGGGTTGGTCATAGTTTTATAACCTCAATAGGCTTATGTGTTTTTAATTGGCAGAGGATAGGGAGCCCCAGACGTTTTCCATTGGTTGCTGAGCTCTGGTCACCAGGTGTGTGGAGCTCACTTGTCAGTATCTGTTTGGTGTTGTGGCCTATTGAACAGACCCGACCTCCCCTGGAGTGCCCTGGCACCCTCAGGCTGTGAAGCCGTTCTGAGCTACGGTTAGACTGAATTTCTGGTATCCAAGCAGAACACTGGGTTGTGGGGTGTAGGATTTAAATGAGCGTGTCAACAAGTGAGTGAATGAACATTTGAAGCTGGAGTAGAATGGGGAGGCCTTAGACTAGCGCTGGGTCCAGGGCGCCCAGGAAGCACACAGGCTCTGGGTGGCCCAAGCTGAGCAGCCGGGACAAGCCTGGCCATCTGCTCCACTGCTCCCGTGGTGACGCTCACATGGGGCCACACGCTCCAGGCTGCTGGACACAAGGGGCACAGGAGCCTGAGGAGCTGCCCCTGGGATGGCGCTGGTGAGGAGGGGCAGCGAGCAGTGTGGCCCATGATCTTAGCTCACTTCTGAGCCCTGTCCCCGTGAACTTTCCTGAGAAAGTCCCAGCCTTTCATCCCAAGCACAAAATCCACTGGCATGTGATGCTTCAGGCTGTCATTTCTCTCTCTCAAGTCAGGATGTGACTGTGGAGCTCACAGCTTGAACGTGGAGAGCCGGAGGCTGTGTTTTGAGCTTGGGAATGGAAAGAGTTGCACCGTGGCCGTTAGGGGGCGCTGCAGCCTCGCCCATGAACAACACTACCTGGACCACAGAGGGCACGTTCACTGGGGCTGTTCACTGGGATGCAGCCCGAGTGCACGTCACCCTCCCTGCGCCTGTCACCCAGCCGACCCACTTCTGCTGGCGTGTTGGGCCTTGAGTGGAGTGCGTTCTCGTGCCTGGGCGCGTCCTCCCCAGCAGTGAACGGGAGGGAGGCGTAGAGGTAACATGGAGACCTGTGGAGTTTGGGCGCCCTCCTCCCCCTCCCCGCCAACTACAAATGCAGATTTTGCCTGTTTGTTGGGTTCTTTTCTGGATATTCTTTAATGATCTTAGAGCGGAATGCTTTGATAAAACGCATGAGTAAATAAGGCAGCCAGGTGGGTCAGTGGTGGCGCTGTGGGTGGGAAGGCTGTGTGAGCGCTCCCACGGTTAGCCAGGCGTGTGATGTCAACCTGCCCATACTGAGCGTCCCCTCTCCTCCAGGTAACATTCCTCATGTGTCCTCTCTTGTCGCACGGTATTGTCAGGAACCTAGTGTGCAGAGAGCCCAGAAACGTACGTCTAACTGTGCCCCGTGAAGACTGAAGAAGCCACACAGGCTTTAGTGTGGAATGTTCTGGAAACACAGGGGAAGTGCTTCAGAAGGAAGACACAGCCACTAACTTAAAGCCTTTCTCCCTTTCATCCTTCTGTTTGCCTGGCACTTTCTCCGAGAAATTCAGTGCATGGTTTTCAGACCGTTCGTGTTCCTGCCTCAAGAATCCTGAGGAGGGACCTACGTGTATGGCGCCACATTTTGTCTTTATGTGCAGGGGTCATTTGTGTGAGGTCCAGAGTGGTCCCTGTACTGAGCCAGTGTGTTCGTGCACTGTGGGCAAAGATGGAGCTGTGAGTGGCATGCCAGCGGGAGGTGGCGCACTCCAGCTGCAGGGAAGCGACAGTGTCTGCGTTTTGTGGAGGACTTCAGGGGTTTGTGAACAATGCTACAACCAGGGCTTCCTGGCACACGTGCCCCCACGTGTCTGAGCCCACACCCGGAGCCTTGCCTACCCCAGGTGGACCTCTGACTCTCCTACTGGACCAGAAAGCTGGTCCTGCCCAGCCCATCCAAGGGCTCTGTGCCCAGGGAGGGGACCCTGGGGGGCGCTGGGCAGACCAATCCCCAGATCCCTGGTTCTCCGAGGGCATGACTCCCCCCCACCCCCACCCCCACCCCCGTCGAATGCCAGAGTGGGGCTGTTGATCGTAACGATCCTGCAGGCCAGGTGCACACCTCCAGCAGCGGGGGTCCCTGAGAGCTACCTCTGCCCTCCCAGCCACTCTTGGCTGAGCCCCACTTGTCCCCTCCTCATTCATCGTGGGGGAAACGGGAGAGGAAGAGGAGGGGAGCCTGTTACTCTCTTCCCACCGTCTAGAACCGTCTAGAACCATCGTTCTTTGTTTTAAATTGTTTGCGTAGTCTTTAAGAGTGTTAATTTTTTTCTTAACAAACAGTCATTAATTGGCTGCTCTGGGATAATCTGGCCCTAAATCAAGAGTGTACAGCTGACAGAGAAGGAAAGCCAGGGATCGCGTATGTAAGCCCTGAGCCCAGCGCGCCTTTGCATTCATGGGAGCTTCTCTGCTCAATTGTCCTGTTTCTGTCTGTAAGTATGTATTATTATAGACCCATTTTAATCGTCTAATTGTGATACGGTGTATTTTTAATTTAATTTCCATGTTGATTTTGTACTGTATGCATATCATAAATTAAAAATGAAAGCAGGTCACACACTGGCCCATCAGTCTCCCTCCAGCCCCGTCCCTCCAGCCCCGTCCCTCCAGCCCCGTTCCTCCAGCCCCCCTTTCTGGGCCGACAGCTCCACGACCGGGCTCCTGGGCTTCCTTCCACATCCACAGGTGGTGTCCTGAGGCCAGCGTCAGGGGCCACATGCCCTTCTCCTCCCTGTCTGCCACAGACCCCAGAGGTCACCCAACAGCTGAGCTGCAGATTCTCCTGCCCATGGGGAACTGGGTCCTCTGGGGAAGCTGTCCCTTTGGTGGAAGGCATGGGGACTGGAGGGCCTGGGGTGACCAAGAGAGCTGAATCATGTTGAGCTGTTGGAAGTAGGCACTCTCTGAAGCTGAAGGTGCCGGGGGGTCAGGTCTGGAGGGTTGTCCCTTTGCTCCAGCCTCAGGATTCGGGGTGCAGGAGCTCCCACTGGGGCTCTTGCTCCCCCTGGAGGGTGGGGAGCACTGCTGGAGCCTGCTGGCGGAAGGGGAGGGCTGGTGAGCGGGGGCGTGTGGTGGCCTGAACCCGGCCTGAACCCACCTTTCACCCAGACGGCTCATGCATCTGAACCCTTGTGTCGAGTGGGTGACTTCTATGATCGCCTGATGTCCAAGCCAACACCAGTCAGATTCTTGCAAACAACCTAATAAATAGTTAGCAAACCCCGAAGTGAAGGAACCATTCTGCCTTCTAAGGAATGGTATTTAAGCTGTTGTGACAATCCTCCAAAAATGAACACCTAGTAATGTTTTTGGAGTTGGAATCTAGAGGCAAGGAGCATGTTGTACGGTGCGGAGTTAACCAAGTCAGCATCTGTTTACACCTGTTTTGTTCCATGCTGTATTTAAGGC